TGAGAGATAAGACAACAACTCTTCGCACAAATCATCACCGAATCGTTGAAAGGAGTCTTTGCCATACATTTCACACATTTTTACCACAAAATCAATTCATAACTCAATTAAAACTCAATTCTTGTGATAGAAATGAACGAAAAAATTAAACCAAAAAATGAAATTCATTTCAAATGAAAGACAACTTATTTTTGAAATTCATTTCCAGTTTTCGTTTCCATGTATTCAACGCTTCACTCAATCACTTCTATCGAGTATAACATAAAACTGTTTGTGAAAGTAGTGTAGACTTGAGTTTTGTATACTTTTTAAAGTTTTACTTATTGTATAACTTTTAAACACACAATCAGTCAATGGTTTTAGATATGTTTTAATTTATTACAACAATTAAAATTTATTTTTATATTTAATTATTTTAAAAAAAATTTTACTAAAAAATTATTTTAAAATGTTTTATGAAATAAAATATTTTAATTGTTTTATAAGAAAGTGCAAAACAATTTTGTGTAATTTGTTGTGAATATATTTGGACACAAATCATACCAATAAAGTATGGACTTAGAGGCGGGACAGGCGGTGATGGACGTGGAGATGACAGACCTGTCCGACAAGACTGCCTACGAAACATTGGATCAAACCGTTGAACAACTGCTCAACGAATTGGATCAGAGAGTCGGCCAAATCATGGCCTATGGCTTCAACACTACCGACATTTGCATCGATATTAGCAAAAGCGGTGAACAAATCGTTTTATTCAAAGGCTTTGAGCCGATCTCAGCGAAGGTCTCGCAGACCACTCAGACGGACACTGAGATCGATATGTTGGGCATTAGGCTATGTGTGCACCGAAGGGACGACACGGCCCCCAAAGCTCCCGCCGAGTTGTGGGCATATTTTAAGAAAAAACCGGCCGACGATTGGACAAAGCTTCGCACGTTTGGCACCAATGGGTCAGACGGAGTGGTAGCCAAGTGTGTCAAACACGACAACTCAAACGCCGCGCACCTGTTGGTGATCACCGACCAAATGGCCGCCGCAGCCCTTCAATACACCCGCACCGGAACCGCTCAAGAGTTGTTGACCGTCCAGAATAAGATCGGGAGTTGTATAGAGGAGCTGAAAAGGACCGTCGATGGTATGGCCGACTCAAAGCGCTCTGAGAGAGTCACTGAGCACTGGAATCGCTGGCAATCGTTGGCCAAACAGATGGATGGCGTCCATCAGATGATGGATTGTTGTCTGCGGTGCGCCGGGTGTGTGCCCGCACAGGTGGTCGACAAGTATCTGTCCAATCGGCCGACACCTGTCCCGCAAACGTTCGACAGTTTGAGAGACTGTCGGCCGACAAAAATGTGTGCCCGATAGACATGCGCTGGTATTAAAACAAATCGCTTGTATTAAAAATTGTTGATTGAAAATAGTCGGTGTATCATTTATTTGAATAGATCAAGTATAGTATAGATTGCATTAATAATTACAATTTATAATTTTATATAACTAAATTTTATTTTTGTTTTAACGAGATTATTTTTATGTCTAATTCAAAGTTGAATATAAAAACTAAATGTATTATAATTATTAAAATGTGTAAATAAATTGAGTTTTCATAATATTTAAACAATTTTTAAAACATAATTATAATAAGTTTTAATTCTATTGTTTAATTGTGTTCAACACTCGGCTCCGGGTTTTTGCAAATCGTTTTGAGAGACCAATCCGTTGACGGTTTTGTCGACATTGGCTTTCATTGTGTCGTAAATGTGAGTCTAATTAGTAATTATTAAATTGAAATTATTACAATTATCAATGATAAACAAATAAAATAATTTCTATTAATAGAAAGATTAAACATAATTAAAATATAAAACCTTTAACAAAAGCGCTTGCCTTTGGTTTCTCACCAAATACTCAATTAACGCCACAATTAGTGCCAATACTATACCCGCGACGAGCAAATAGAAAGCGCCCAAAGTTTGCGATATTGTCAACACATTCGGAGTCCCATTTTTATTACCCTAATTATTGTCAGTTAACGAATACAATTAATGTGGATTAATGCAAATTGCAAATAATAATAATAATAAATAACCATGTACCCATGGATTGAAATGGCTATTCATAGAACCGCATTGTGACGTTTTTTGCCACCACTTCTCGGCCAGTGTTGTCATAAAGCCCTCCTCTTTGAGTTTGAGGACAACGAAATTTATTTCATCACTAATGCGTGTGTTTATGCAATTTAATTAATTGTATAGACTTTTTAATTGGTTGCGATAATACCTGAGAGGACTGCCCTTAGGTGTAGCTACACCGTAGCCTTTGGTGTCTGTAATATAGTGATTACAATTACTGTAAATATTAATAATTAAATATATATTAAATATGATTAACCTATGAGACGGCCAACGGTCATGGTGTCGCATGGCATTTGTCCATTAATGAGATGAGAACTTGCCTCTTCTGTAATAATTAACACCATGTTTAATAGTGTTAGTATTGAATTTGGCGGTTATTATAAGTTATAAATTTTATAAGTATTCAATCGTGCAATTATTACCCATTAAAAAAGCATATTTGCCGCCCGACTCCCGGACCCGTTGGAAACCCTCGCTGTAACTGTTGACCATTGAGTTGGGATTGGAGTTCATGTGTCGCCACATACGGGAGTAGACTTCGTGTTTGGAGTTCTTTGTATTTACAGTTATTAATTATATAATATAGATTACATTATTGTACGACTATTTATTGTTAAAATGTACTGTACCTGGAAGAACCCAGGGGTGGCACCATTTTTTATGGCACTATTTGATTAAAATTTTTTAAATTTTATAAATTTTAATTTAACTTTTATTTTTGAATCAATTGTAATTTGTTTCTCACCCGTACTCCACATCAGTCTGTCTGGAAAGATCTTCATATGAATTGATCATGGTAATCGGACTGTCGCTATTTTGCATGTGAACCATATTAGCCGTATACGAAGCAACTATCTAAACATTTTAATATTTACAATGTTGAAATACAGTAGTTTAATTCCTGTAATTATTATATTTAGCTTAACTTACAATTATAGTGAAGAGTCCACAGACTGTCCATAGAATACGGCCCGATATCGATGACCGGCAATTGGTTTCGGATTCGTGTTTACCAGCGGTTGATAGTCGAGAAATGGCGTACAGTATTACCCAAACGCTGGCGTATGACAGCCCTATGAGAGCCCATAGACCACAACTAAATGGATCCATAACTGAAGACACGCCCGACGTGAGTGGTGTCGGTTTCTTCATCATTACGGTTATGCCTGTCATCAAAAATGGCTGCGAAAACGCTACGACACGCTCGCGTTGGGCAGTGATGGTCAACGGGGCGATCGCAATGTCCGACTCCTGTATAACACATTATTGTGTTATTAATTGAATGATTGATTTTGATGTACAAAATGGTGATATAAGACATACATTGGCCACGAGTTCGCCGATCATTCCGTTCCAACGGCCCGTCGATAGCGGACGCGTCCCGTAATAGCCGTCTTTCACGAGTCGGAGAGAGTAAGTGATGTTTAGTCTGTCGGCGATGGCGTCCGCGAGGTCTTTGATGTAACCCATGTAGCGATCGTTTCCACTCAACACAACTCCCGGTTCCGCCGGTCTCTCCTCCAGAAAGCCCTCCGCCTATTGAACCATACATTTTGTTTTGTTACTTGTGTTTTGTGTATAAATTATGATGGTGGTAATTGTCAAATTATTCAATTATTAACTTACTAATACACTGGTGACAATTTTTGTAGGTCTATGAGGCACAACTTGTGTGGCCGATAATAGCACCACAAATAATAGTAATAGTTTATTCATTGTTCATATATTATAAGTTTTCATTAAATTTCAAGTAAAGGAGTTTTGAATTTATTAAATGTGTTAATATTCAGCGATATTTATATAAAATATTTTGTTATTCTTAAGATGCATATCATAAACATTAAATTAATATTAATTAAATTGAATTGATTGCTGTTTATAGACTCGTTTGCACTCTATTGAAGCTGTTATTGTGTAGATTACGTAAATGTACATTTAGAGTGATCACATGGACTAACTTTATTTTAATTAACTAAATATTTTAAACTTGGTTAATGTTTAAATCTCTAACAATTGTAAGTGGAATTTGTAAAAGTATTATATAATTACATATTAGTTATTAGGATATTATGAAAATTAATATATATTATTTGAATATTCATATAAAATAACTTTATTAAGCATTTTATTTACTTAATTTATTTAATATCTGTCGATTGTAAAAAGATTATGTGGGAATCCTGTCTATATTATATTGTATAAAATCAAAATTTCCATTCTTAAAGCAATTATTTAAAAATGACATTTATAAATAATCATTATACTGTAAGTAATCAAACATTAAATTGATATAAATATCTTCCGTTACTAAAAATGTGATTTTATAGCGACATTAATCATTGATTGATATAAATGTTTAAGTTGTTAAAAATAGATTAATTTAACTAAATGCACCAGACGTGCAAGGTTTCGTATATTATTGCGATAAAGTAAAGTTAGAGTTGACAACTAATCATTGATAAACATGTTTGTTAATTTTTAATCAAAAGTATGACATGATTCCAAGAAATTTAATATTATTATTAATTATTAACAAATATTTTTGAAAACAATTCATAAATATTATTGAATAATACATGAGAAGTTAAATAATAAATATCAAAATAATAAATCTGGAAAACATGGCAAAATTATCATAATGTTTAATTTGAATCTCTCTCTCTCTCTCTCTCTCTCTCTAACATTTATATTCAATTCAATAATCCGTGTGCTGTAAAAGTGAAACAAAATCCAAATCTTTGAAATACTGACGCTATTGTAAAGAGTGGGTCGAAAATTAAAAAAGTTTTAAAAAATGTTACTAAATTAACGATTATTAATCTACCATATGTAAATGCTACAACTTATGAATAATATTGTAATTAAATATATGTAATTGTTTAAGTAAAAATTATATTTAAACTGTTAATAGTTTGACATTTTAAATTTAATTGCACATAAGTTTATGATCAAACTCTATTATGAAAACAAAATTATCAAACATTAAATATAACACAAATGAAATAATTTATTGATAGACAAAATACCGCATTTGTAAGCAGTAATGTAAATAATCAATTAAAAACCTTGATGAGAATACTCGAGATTATTTTTCTAATGGTTTAGTGCATTATAGTTGTAATATTACAAATTATAATTGTTAAGAAGCGCTATTGAAATCCCTCTAACAATTAGATTATAAAACTTTTTACAATGCACTAAATTATTACATTTAGTGTAAAAAGTGCATGTGTTTAGAATTGCTAAATTAATAATTAGTGCAGAATATAACTATATAAACACAGAATGTACAATTACCAAATCATAATTAAATTAATTTCTTATATTTATTAGTAATAAATTATTACTATTTTAGTAATTAATTATTAAATATGAAATTATTATTAGTATTGATATGTGGATTGGTTTGTATTGTGAGCGCAGACTATCCTATAGAGGACTATAAGGCGGTCGCAAAGTCCCGGGACTTCACGGGGAAAGTGGTTCTCGTGACCGGTTCCTCGTCGGGCATCGGAGAGGGAATCGTTAAACTGTTCTCAATATTAGGGGCTAATGTTGTGGTCACCGGAAGGAAAGCACAGGACGTCCAACGAGTGGCCAAAGAGGTCCAGGAATTGTCGCCACTAAAATTGAAGGTATTAATAATCAAGACATACATTCAAAAAGAAAATTTTTAAATTTCTTATTCTTACAATTATTTTCTAACAGCCATTAGAAGTTGTGGGAGATTTGACCAAAACTTCTGATGTAAACAATTTAATCGACTCTACGGTCAAAACGTTTGGCAAAATCGATGTATTGGTCAATAACGCCGGTATATATCCGCAGACAAACATTACACAACCGGATCTGTTGTCAGTTTGGGATCAGATATTTGCCGTCGATTTACGCGCTGTCGTAGAACTCATCCATCAATCGGTTCCACATCTGGAGAAAACCAACGGAACTATTATTGATATCTCAAGTGTGACATCACTCGCACCGGTATGTCTGAACAGATGCAGTACTAAACATATTCGAGAACATAATATTTTAAAGACTAAATACTACATGATCATATCAACACTAAATATTATATTATTGATAATATTTTATTATTAACTAATGAACCATGCATATATTATTTTATTAGATGAAAATTTATCTAGCTTATGCATCGGCCAAAGCAGGTATGGATATGTTGACCAAAATATTAGCCCTGGAATTGGGATCGAAAAATATTCGGGTCAATACAATTAAGTAAGAAATTTATAACATCTATTGTTTTAATAAATTAATCATTTTAATTATTAAATTGATTTCCATAGTCCGGGTGCTATACATGTGAGAGACCCTCTGACACCATTTGAAAAACTTGCGGCGAAATACACCCCATTAGGAAGATTGGGTGAACCGCTAGACATCGCCCGTGCGGTCGCATTCCTGGCCTCCACTGACGCCCAGTTCATTACCGGCGCTAATCTGGTGGTCGACGGCGGGGCTATATATAACGCCGGAGCCGCTAATATATTGTAAACTCGTTTAATAACTTTTTATTTAATTAATATAAATGTCAAATGAATTACAATAAAAATTATTACAATTATTTCTTAATGATTTAATTTTCGCCGATTTGTAATTTACATATAAATGTATATCGCTTTGCAATTAATTATGATTCAATTTAAGGTAATTTATAATAAAATAAATACTTTTAACAAATATTATTAGTTTTAGAAATGTTTTATTAGCAGTAAATCAGATAATGTATATCAGTCTAAAATCAAGTCAAATAAAATATTACCATAATTATTTTAAAATATCGTTTCACATCATTGATAATTCTAATATATAAGAGACAATATATCTAAATATCTTAACACCTCCCCCCCCCCCCATAGCAAACATAGAATCACTGGAAATAAAACTATTTCTTTGTATAAGTAATATATTTTCTCAAAATATGTTATCAAACAATTAACTTTATTAAAAATTTAGCTTTTAAAGTCTTTAAATTCTTAAAATGCAAACGTTCTTAAGGTCCCTACACTCCCCTCCCCCTCGTTTGCAAAAGTTCGCTTTGCCCGACACCCCCCTCCCCTCAGGTGCAAAAGTAATTTGCGAAACACCCCTAAGTGTAAAGCAATCAAATGGTTTAATCATTGTTTAAATATTATTTTTTATAACTAATTAATGCAGTATTTAATATTGGCTTGGCCAAAATGAGAACGCGTTCTCTTTTTTTTAGAGTGACCGGATAATTCCCTCAAAAAATCAGGTGAATTTGTATATTAATAATTTAATAGAAAATCAAATTGTTAAGCGAATATTAATCTTTTTGAGTTTAATTAACAAAATATTATATTAATTTAATTGTTTATTATAAATAATATTAATATTAGTTTAAATTATATTTGTCGACCGGAGTCTGAGGCATGTACTGTCTCTACACTTAATTGATTAGTGCCTGGGAATATTTGTAAACATTTTTTAGTACAGTGCAACCTCTCCATAAGAAACGGGCAGATGCATAGCCAAAGTGTTTCTTATAGAGAGGGTTTCTTCAAGGGAGGTTTGAGTAAAAATGTCTGTTTTAATTAATTTTTGAAAGATTTTATTAATTATAGCAATTATTGAAAATAATCAGTAATTTTAGTTTGTTAGCTGTATTAAAAGGACAATTAAATGCTTTATTCTTAATTTTGTCCAATTGTTCAAACATTTGATCATCGGATGCGTCTCTGGATATAAAATAGAACTTTAGTGTTGGTATTGCTGTAGTGGTGATATTGATGAAAATGTGTTTTTTGTTTGTTTAAAGTCTTAAGTTTGAAAATATTTTGAATACTTTACATATCATGTGCTTATGATTATATTTGTTTCTTATCGGGAGTGGAAGTTTTATCTTAATCTCTATAAATCCGTTTCTTATGTGGAGGTGTTGCCCCAAGAGAAGTTTCCCTAAGAGAGGTCATTTTACCATTATAAGTATAGGAAATCCAAAAGAGATTTCAAAACCGTTTCTTATGAAGAGGTGTTTCCCTAAGAGAAGTTTCCCTAAGAGAGGTTGCACTGTATTAACAATATACATAAATGTATATACCAAAATGTGTTCTATTTTTAAAATATGCATATATACGTAAAAAGTTATTTACTGCATTATACTTTATATGAACGTTATTACACACTTTTTACTTTCACATTGTACGGACATTAAATTTTAAATTGACAAGATAAAAAGTTATTTAACATCAAATTATTTAATATCAAATATCGAAAAATCAATTTTTCATGATTTTGGTCTAACATATCTGGTTATAAGACTTGAAGTTATAAAGTCAATTTACCGATTACATAATTGGTCTAGGTGATACATGCAATTAACACCCATTAAGTCAATACTAATTCAAAACATGTGTTTACCTTTCAATATAAGACACCATTAATAGGATTGTCTTTAAATTATTAACTATTTATCCACTGTTTTTTACAAGTTAAAATTTATTTTCAGTACGAATTTCAATTATACAACCAGTGAGATAAGAATGTGTTTACTGCTAGCGCAAACCGGTTCGGTTATTTAATATCAAACAAAGTAAATGATATTAATAAAGTGTTAATCCATCATAATGAAATAAAAGGTATGCACTAATACTGTACTCAATCTAATCTAAGATTGTGTGTGGCATTAAACAAACTAGTTTAA